TTTTCACATATGTTCTTCTCAATGTGCATGACATCAAGATTGTGTGGCAGCAACAAGTCCTTCCAATATGGTAGCCCCCACCAAGCAGATTTTCGATCATAAATCACTGGCTCTTCTCCATGCTTTCATTTCCTTTTTCCACCGTGCTTACTTGGGCAGACATCTTTCACCTTCTCGAGTTCCTCAAGGACCTCTTGTAAGGTGAACTTTTCTGACGCATCTCGGTCCTCAGTTTTTTCATCAAAATCCAAGCTCTTCCTCCTAGGGTGATCCATAGGAAGGTAACGACGGTGTCCAAGGTAGCCTAGCTTCTTTCTTAGGCTCCTTGATAATGGATTTTTGTCACAGTAAATACATGCATAATAAACTTTTTGTAGTTTGGCCAGACAAGGTGCTCAATGCTGGAAAATCATGTATGCACCAAAGCACGGTAGCGCACAGAGTGAAGCCTTTCTTATTATAGTGATGTAGTACATGAAAAGTGTTGACACCCTTCCATAGTTCTTTTAGTTCTTCTATTAGAGGCTCCAAGAATACATCAAAATCCTTTCCTAGAGAGGTTGGGCCTAGGATCAGTAGACACATAAAGCAATTCGATGAGTTCACTCATTCCCATGGTGGCAGGTTCAGAGGCGTTACAAGAACAGGCCACATACTATATGTCGAGCTAAAGTTGCCAAATGGATTGAAACCATCTATGGCGACGACAAGCCTCAAGTTCCATGGATCATCTGCAAAAGTTGGGTGCTTTCTATTAAAGTCCTGCCATGCCTCCCCGTCTATTGGATGGCTCATTTCACCGGTATTCTTCTCTCGCTTAGTCTCGTGCCATTCGGCGTCCGTTGCTGTTCCTCGAGCAGCAAAGATCCTCTACAACCTCGATATTAGAGGAAAATGCCTCAAAACCTTATGAGGAACCCGCCTGCTACCATCTGCATCCTCCCATCTAGACTCTTTGCATTTTGGGCACGCTTGCAATTCCTCACGATTACCCCAAAACAACACACAGTTGTTCTTGCACACATGGATACTTTCATGACCTTGTCCCAATTCTTGAATATATTTGCGGGCCTCTCCTCACATGATTTTGGTATGTTGCTACTAGGGAATGCATCTGACAGCAACACCAATAGTGCATCAAAATAGTTGTTGATAACTCGATAGCGGGACTTGATATAGAGCAACCTGACAAGGAAGGAGAATCTTGAGAAGGTAGATCTAGAAGAAACTGATTGCTTCAACTCATCCAACACTCTTTCAAACTTTGGGAGTCTTCTAGCCCACTCTTCAGATATCAACAGGTTTTGAACTAAATCATAAAAATCTGGTAATATATTATAATTGCGGTCCTCCTGCTCCTCCTCTGTAATCCAACCATCATGATGAGTCCATGCACATCTGATGGCTCTATAAGGTCAATACCTACTCCCTCTTCCCCATGATGAATCCATATGGTATATGCGGGTGACATTCTATTTATAAGTAAGTCGTCCTTCACCTCCTACCAAGTTTTAACCACCTAGTTAAGACAATGTGTACATGGGCAAGGGATGTTTTGCTCTGAGTATTTTTGTTTAACCATATCCATGAACTCTTCAACTCCTATGGTGAACATCGGCGAGAATGGTCTCCCATTAGGAATCCAGGATCTATCCATCTGTTGCAGCAAAAGTACGCAAAGTCCGTTAGAGTTTCGACCATTGGGTGGACAATGGCAAAACTAGCATTAGAACAAAGCATACAGTGTTCAAAAGCACTAATATGTGCATTTGTTCATATCATACTATGGAATAGTCTGGTTTTCTATTTTTGTGTGACAAAAGCATTGATTTCAATTGAAATTCATACAGAATAGCCTTTCTTTATGTGTTCTTTACTTTATCATGTACAGAAAATGTAGTCCCATAATCACATAAGAAGGTACTCATACCTTTATTCTACAAACTAGCATGGCTCGGCTGCAAGCTGCCTCTACCGCGGCACACACCTGATCACGCGGACATCAATGACGCCATGCTCCATCGGGAGAGCCCCGCCACGCCACCAAAAGGATGCCTGAGCCACCACAGCAGACCGGGGATCCTCCGCCTCCATCGCCGCCGCTGTCGCAAGTCCAGTGGGCATAGATTTGTTTCCACTTGCAGGGATATATCCAATTTAGGTCAACCTAGAACACAGCCAATAGGATACTATAGCGACTCCAAAGAGATGTCAGCACAGCCAGGCATCTAGCGCAATGGTAAATATGCTCAAATTCTTGGTCCAGATCCTGTGTTCAACTCCTAGGTATCAGACCATTTTTTTTGAGAAATTAAACCCCGATGGCACACGTGGTACAAGTGACACGCAAACCGTCAGGTCCCATAGGTCGGATGGATATGGAGAAAGGTCACATAGGTACACGTGACATGTAAGCCATCGGGTCCTATAGGTCGGATGCAGAAGGACCAAGCGGAGACTTTTATGATGAATTGCAAGCGTCAAGTGATACGCAAGCCATCGGGTCCCACACGTCGGATGGAGATGGAGAACGGTCCCATAGGTACACATGACACGTAAGCCATCAGGTCCCACAGGTCGGATGCTGAAGGGTTTCGTAGGTACACGTCGGACGGAGAAAGGACTAAGCGGAGACTTTTATGACAAATTGCAAGCGTCACGGATGAGTAACTGCAGGTCCCACAAGTACATGTCGGATGGAGAAGGGTCCCATAGGTACACGTCGCATGGAGATATGATTGAGCGGAGACTTTTATGATGAATTGCAAGTGTCACGGATGACTAACTGCAGGTCCCACAGGTACATGTCGGATAGAGAAGGGTCCCACAGGTACACGTCGTATGGAGATATGATCGAGCGGAGACTTTTATGATGAATTGCAAGCATCACGGATGAGTAATGCAGGTCCCACAGGTACTTTTGTGTATTCAAGTTTTTTTATCTGTGATGAAAAGAGAGAGCGGAAAGTGGGATTAATCAAGTCTGAAATAATAAAGTTCCCCTTTTCCATGAACAAAATGGTTTGCTCGGCCTACATAACCACAAAAGGCTCGCCCTCATGTTTTTGCCTAGATCCCTTGAACAATGGCCAATGACGAATCAAAAGCACACTGTTACTACTTCTCTTATAGTATAATGCCCGTGCTAACGCCACGGCTTCATTTCAGAGATGCACATAAGAACAATTAAACAACGATACTTTTTTCATACACACAATTGTATATGACCATGTATATAATTTAGAAAGCATAACAAGGCATAATAAGTCATATCTCACCTCAACCATCTACCTTATGATTTGCTTAAGTAGGTCTTGGAGTTGTACAGTAGCGCCTAGAAAAAAATAAATCATAATTTAAAATAAAGCATAATAAAACTAAAAAAATCATAAAACTAGCGTCATGGTCCCTTTTCAGCCTTAAGGCAGCCTCCGTATTTAGGATAGGTACAAGTACAACCAAGGAATTCTGGCAATTCACTGAGCATTTTTTTACAAGCATTGATGACAAACATTTGGTATAGAGTTTGGAGATGCAACAAATTAACCCATTATATTCCAAACAAGAAAAAAAGCATTTGCTTCTCTTTGTTGATATCTGTGCCATTCTCCCACCACCACTAATCTCCACAATCACATCAGTGCCATACTCCCTCAGCCACTAAAGCATATCAATCCACATTTGCTTTGCTTTGTTGATTTCAAATTTCCTTGCTTTTAGAAATCTACATAGCATATTTAGCTAGATTTATATAGCTCAGCATCATATGATAGTCATCGTGTCTTGCAGGCAACAGCACATCCAAGAGTAGTGCTTGTCTAAATGCTTCAACAGCTCCTCTAGATCGCGCACGTCCTTGGTCTCCTGTTTGATTTACCTCCCTAAATTATTCCAAGAGGTTGGCATATCACAAATGTTCTCAAACATTTAAATAAGCTAATGTAAAGTACAATGTAAACCATTTATTCTGCCATCATTTTTGCAAACCAATCATTTACACATAGATATGTGAAATCGAGGAGCATCAGATGCTTACTATCAGTGGAATCAAGAAATGTAGACAACATGTAGTAATTTAGTATGGCAGCTATGATAAAACCTGATGATCCAAAACTGCAGCAACATATATAACAAACTACAAAAGACAGAGAACAATGTATGAAGCCCACACTCACATCATTGTACTATGGCTTTGCTTTCCTCTTCTGGCCACACCCTTTCTTCTTTCCTTCTACATGTAGAAATTAGTTGCTCCAATTTCAGTTGAACTTTCTCGTATTCTATTTCTGAATCAAAGATCTTGGTTGCCCTTTACCTACATAAGGTTGCAATTGATGCGATCTTTAGCTTCTTATCCGCAGTTTCCTGACATTTCTAGATAAAATATGCTTCTAAAAGAACTGTTAAATCAAAACTATAATCTAGTCTAGAGGAACATAGAACATGTTGTGGCCTGTGACTGTTCTCCCTTGATAAAACATCAGTTTCTATGAATACTCAAATGACAATCGGCTTAGAAAATTCAGATCTGCAACCTAGTCCTCTAACGCATATATTTGAAAAGGAAAACCGACCATAGATGCTACCTGAAGCTTGTCATTTTCTTTTGACATCACCATGCAACCTCTCTGCAAAGCCCGCATCTCCTGCACACGTAGCCAAACAAGAACAAACTGCAGTCAATAGAGTATATAATTTGGCTTCAGAACTTGAGTATATATCCAGTTTTATTTAACCAAATCGCAATCACACATTAGCAAAGCAAGATCGTGACCATGACTTGTTTAAAAAATAATGACCACTAAAGTGTTGAACCTAAGTTGCTATCAAGATTTTCAGAACTGCTAGATTTTTTAAGGAAATTGAGAAGTCACTGCTACATATTCAGAGAGTTAATTTTTGAACATTTACATAGTCAATGCATAGGAAATGCACTGCTTTTCTACTTACCTACACAAAAATCAGTAGCAGCAACATCAATTGCAAATTTTATTCTTCTATTATATCCGGCCCTCTTGGTTGCCTTTTTGAAGTGGATCTTCAACTTTCTGCAAACAAACAAAAAAATCTGAAGTGGAACTTAAACTTTCTTAACAATTCATTTACTTGAAGACCCTATCTTACCAATTCATTTATTGGAACAAACAATAGCCAAGTTTCAGTAGTAACATTTCTAAGGTAAAATGATTACGGACAGTATAGGATAGCTTACCGTTTTTGTAATCATAGTGGGGGCAGCAGGATAGTTTGCATTTGTCCCTCACTTTTTCCAGAGTCAAGGTGATTTGGGTACTGTCACCATCTGCTGCAGATGCTGTGAAAGCATAGGCAAATCTTTTCAACATCAAGAAATTGAAAAGTGCAGATTGATGTTTCGCCATGATGAAGATAGATGATCTATACGTAGTGGACTTTATGAGCAAAAATGAAATTGCTAACAGCGGGGTCACTTACTTGGAATGGAGAGTGCACCTCTACAACGTCAGGTCTGATGCATATCTGTTTGAGGTCTGCAATCTTCATCCTACACTCCAGCTTCTTCTTATTGGACAAACCTCCATCCTTCTTCTTATCGGCCTTCTCCAGCATGTACTCTACCTCCACCTCCACCTTCGCCCCCATTTCCACCCCAATTCTCATCCTCGATAGGCAGTGCTAGGCACTTTGTGGCGGAGTCAACATATATTGGGGGAATAAGCCATGTGTTTGCACGGAATCCACACGGCAAAATTCCCAAACTACAGATGCAGAAAAGGTTATTCTCATCAAGAGTTCTCGAACTACATCATTCAATTTAATATTCAGCACACTGAGGGCTCCGGTGAACCCAGTCTGTCTTCCTCCCTTATCGCACATACAACGCGAAACCCGCAAAATCCTCAGCCCCGCAAAACCGCGCAGAAAACCACCAACAGAAATCGACCTCACACAACCAACCGAAGCACATCGGCGGAGATCACCCACCACGCAAAATTCCACAGCTGGGACCCGCACCGAAGCTCACTTGGGTCGGATCTGGAGGAAATCGCGAGCGCGAGGACGCCTTTCGAACGCCCGCCGTGTTCCCTCCAGCTCCGCCGCCGCGGAGGCACAACGTGCAACCACGACACGCTCAACCCAGGCATGGACGGCGGTGCACCACGCCTCGGCGAGCTTTGGGTTCATCGGCGCACCGCGGGCCGGGAGATCCTAAGTGAGCAGGCCGTGTGATTGGCTTGGAGCGTTGAATCGCGGTTGGCTTCGAGCATTGAATCACGGTCGCGGCATGTGAGGAGGGTGCAGGGGTGAGAAGGCGGGGTGAGAAGCCTGGCATCCCACGTCCAATCGTGGCCATTGGATTTGGGTTAAATATTTTATTAGCACTTGATTTTAATGGAGATGAATTCCTATGTGTAATTTTATGGATGCACAATGGTTGTGGGCTCTCAACGAAGGTCGTTTTTTTTTATCTAGTATAATTTTGATTGGTCGATTAAATTATAGCATAGAGAGAGGTACCACCACACGTACGTCATGGACTCATGGTTCCTGAATTCCGCTCATGTCCAAAAACACCTTTACGATCCTCGACGCAAACCGGCCGGTATCGCGTCGCGGCGACAGCGACGGCGAGCCGGCCGAACATTCCGAGACCAGGTACGGATGGGCGGGTGGCGTACGTGGCGCCGCGGAGATATTTTTCCATTTCCGCTGGGCCGTGGGGTGGTGCACCGTGCACGAGCAGAGCGGCAGATCCGGCTGGCGACACGCACGAGATATTATCTTACGCAGGTTGCGCCGGTGACGGTTCTGCCCCCCGGTGGCGCCGGCCATTTACGGCGAGGCCACGGGGGATATTTTGGCGCCAGTGGACGGATCGAAGGTTCTGGACTCGTGGCCGCTCGCCGGCCCATCCCTTTGCTTCGTAGTAGATGAGCATATCTCGCGGCTGGGTTGTGGGGTATCTATCTCCTCCTCTCCGGCGGGCCCTCTTCTTTTCGAGATCTAGAGATCAAGAAATGGTAAATGATATTCTAATAGGCAAAAGTTATAATATTTTGAAGGGTACCGTGCGTACATCATCTATTTTCACTGATCATGACGCCAATATTATTAGTGGTTATTATGCTGACTGTGACAAGAGATGGAGAGCATGTGCATGATATGTGGAGTGAATGAATTGACCTGATATTATAAACAAAGCACGAGTGAACTAGGGGCGTTTAGATATTTTATATTTAGGTGTGATTTAATTCAAAAGAAAATAACAAAAGGTTACATAAACATCTGATGAACACCATATTGAACGTAGCAGACGTACATAATATAACGAATCCAGCAAAATCAGAGGTATACCCAAAGGTGGGACCAGTGCTAGAGGCATCGCGACGTGGTTCGCATTAGTTCACATAGTGGGCTGCCCAAAGTTGTGAACCTCAACATCTGTGAGCTGCACTAAATAATTGATGTTACCAATATTAATCACAAAACTTGGTGTATTGACTATGAGATGTAATGTTATAGTCTACTAGCATATGCAATTATGATATACACGTAAGAGAGACATACGCCATCTACTAACATGTATTAGGTTGTTCATATCAGCGTGTCACTCCATCCGCTAATATTATTTTATAATAGTTTATCCTTTCATATAAATAGTTACATATAGTTTAATGGCATTCTATATTATCTCTGCAATTCTCATAGCAATACGTGGGGTATGTTTCTAGTTAATAATATCCTAAACGACATGTTCTAAACCCGAGGGACTAGCATGACAAGTGCATCTCACTTCGTCATTGTAAGCATCATGCAGTATATATCTATGGTTGATAAACATAATTAAAAAACTTGAAAGCTACTTGATGAATTCTTTGCCTAAAAGCATGACATCCTTACAATTAAAATACAAAAAGTACACTAAATAATGGGTAAAGTTAATGAATAATACTTGACAACTACATGTTGTCTTTGTTTAGAAGTAACCACGCGCGAACTAAGCGTAACTCAACCGGTTAACAAATGTCTTATAATGAAACCTGACCAATGCTATTTTTTAAGTGATAAACGGTGTGTGTTCATTGACATGACACATCTATAGTGATTTCATCAATTTTAAGATTTATTGGCTCAATTTTTTTCAAACATACTTGGTAGGAATCATTTTCCAAATATATTCTCTGATCCTAAGTAAGTTAAATAGGAATCCTAATTCTAATCCAGATAGAAAAGGAAAAAAGTAGAAATTAGGCAAACTTATCTTATTATTTTTTGTCTTTTTATTTTTGTTTTTGTATCTTTTTCTTTCTCTGTTTTTTCCACGTGAGTGTTCCAATTTCTGTTAGGAGCAAGAGAGGTTTTCGTCACGCACACGGGTACCGTACGTGAGTCCATCTTGCACAGGGTACCATCCATTGTCTATGTATGCTATTTCTTCTCCAATTTTTTTCTACCCGGATGTCATCTTTTTGCTAATTTCGTTGCTTTTTTCTCCTGTTCCAAACTTGTTCAACTAAATATAAATAAAAAATAACTGATACACAAGAAGAGGCAAATTAGTTGTACGCTAAGAAAGACGACGAACATTGAGCCGCCGTCAATGAAGCTGCTAGTGCGCGCAATTGAGACTTACCTATACACGACTGCTCTGGTGAGGGTGAACGACTAAATAGTGTGTTTGTAGGTGCATGTATACATATTGTCGTCGACGGATGCAAAAATAGAAGAACTATGACAAAGATGTTAACATCTAAATAAAAGTGAAAATAACTATCCGTCGTAATCCACGGGTATTTTTGCTAGTAATATTTAAATCTTAATATTTGTACAAGTCCTATAATATGGACACCAGAGACAGAGACAGCAGGTGGTTTTTACACGTGGAAGAGCAATGTTGTGCACGCGACAGTGTCCATAAAGAAAGAGGAAATGCAAAGCTATTGGACAGAAAAGTTAAGGAAAAGCAATTTCTTATAGGAAAAGCAATTTCTTATAGGTAAGCCCTATTCATTTAGGCTGATTTGGCTTATAAGCCATGGTTGAAAGTACTGTTAACTGATTTGATATAAGAGAAAAATAATTGATTGATAAGTCATGACTTATAAGTCAAATACAACTTAGCGAACCAGCCTATAAAAAACAATACCCCATATTATTCCAATTTTCAAAAGGAGTACGGTTGGGAGGCGCTGCCACCGGCCGTGGTACTCTGCGGCTGCGGGCCCCACTCCCCATCTTCTTCTTATTCCCTGCGAAGCAAAGGAAACCCACGGTGCACCGTTGGATTGGGGTTGGGGATCCCGCCCCTGGTCCACCGGCCCCACCTGACACGGGCCCACCCTACTACCGCCTCCGCGGAAGATATTTTCCGCCAGCCTCGCGTGGCAGATCCCGTAAATAACCCGCAACCACGCCCCTTTTCTGCGGGTCGTGCCGCGCCTATAAAATCCAGGCGCAGAAATATCTCCCCGCCCTGGCAGAATCTCCCATTTCCCTCCTCCCGCACCAAACACAAACCACGGGCGCACGCCGAGGAGAGAGAAAGGGGGGCGACCGGCCTCGCATGTTTGACGACGAGGGGGGTCGCGGCGTCGTGGCGGTGAAGCGGATGAGGCTGTGGGAGGAGGACGAGGTGGAGGTGGTGGTGGTGGAGGAGGAGGAGGAGGAGGAGGGGATGGAGGTGGACGCGGAGGCGGAGGACGATCCGGGGTGGCCGTGGGGCGCGCCTCCGGCAGCGGGGCTCGGGGAGCCCAGGGCGGCGGCGATCATCGCGGCGGACGCCGCAGAGGTCGACTTCCCCGTCATCTACGTCAACGCCGCCTTCGAGGCCGCCACGGGGTACCGCGCGCACGAGGTGCTCGGCCGCAACTGGTCAGTGCTCTGCTCTGCTCCCGGCCTTCTCCGCTCTGTTTTTCCTCTGCTTGGGGATTGGCAATTCGTGATGCTGGGGAATGCCGCTTGCTTGCTTGGCACCTCTCTTGCGAGCGGCAGCTGGAACCACAGAGTCGCCGCTCGTTGCGACCGGATTAGGATTTTATTTTCATTACAAACCGCGTCACGGCGTTCGTGCAGTCCTCTCTAGATTTCAGGATCCGCGTAGTAAAGCTAGAGCCCATCACTCATTCGCATTAGGTTGTCAATCTTCTGACCAAATGGCGTGCGTGTTCACGATGGCTGCGGCAGAAGACAGAAATGAGCAGAAGCAGGTGCTTGCTTCTTAGTAGGATTCTAGAATGTGGTTATGGCTTTTGATTGGACAGTTTTGTGAACTAAGAATTTTCTGATGCATAATGCTTTAATCGAAGCATGGCCTCCGGCACCATGGGATTTAGGCAGCCGGTGTCAATTTGAGTGATTCTCATGTGTTGATCCGGTATGCAGCCTGCCTCTGAGTAATGGTTAATGGTGACAGTACTGAAATAATTTGATGGACCACTGCCCATGTTGGTATAAGAGTAATCACACAAGCAATGTGATTGGCAAAGTTTTAAAAAAATATTTATTGCGCATATGCAGAAAAACACGTAGACAGGGTCTCCTGAGATCAGATTTATTTTGAGTTTGTTCATGTTGTAGGTAAATTTATCAAATGAGGATTGTAAATAATATAGGTTTGGATCGCGTAGTACCACTGCCTGAGCCATTTTGGTTTTCTTGTGAGTAGAAGAGGCGGCCAGGGGGGGGGTTGATTAAAGAGCATTTTGATGGTTACCTATGAGATATTTTGCTTCATACTTAGGTTGCACTTCTGAAGATATTTTGCTTGATACTTAAGTAGTTAGGTTGCACTTCTAAGTTGGCCACTTGCACATAGAGAGAGGAATTATTCAAGAATAATACCTAGCATATCTGGGTCTACAAAAAAGATTTGTAGGCCATGCCAAACTGGGTGAGCACCTGAGCAGGTGGTTGATTTGAAGTCTGGTTGTAAAATTCTGTTATCTGAAATTGGATGTTGGTGAAAGATTGGGAAATCATTGGGAATTCCAGTTTACTTCATATGATAATGTTGAATAGAAATCATTGGATCCAGTATGAAGTTTTTTTTTTCTCGAAAACGCAGGAGAGCTGCGCTTCATTAAATTAAGAAGAGAATAAAGGGCAAGAGCCCAAACAACACCTTACACACCACACACACACGCACACACCCCAGTTTCTAGGATTACACTCGCGTCGTTGACATAAACACACAAGACGACCACTACTGAGTTAGACACTCTAACTACCGGGGAGGAGGGCAGTCAGGAAAGATAATCCTCGAGCCCCTGCCATAGACCAGATCCAGTATGAAGTTGTCTAGGCATTTAGCATCAGATCTACTTAAGAAGTTCAGTACTGAAATTTTTAGAAATTCAAATGTCATGCGAAAGCAGCATGGTAACGGCCAATTTTGGAACTTGTTTCCTGTTAATGTTGACATAAGACAATGAACATCCACATGGAAGCAGAGAGAAGTCATTTATCTTTTGTCAGGCTAGTCGATCCAAATGATTTTATGTTATAACATCTTGTACTCCCTCCACTCCAAATTATAAGGAGTTTTGGCTTTTTAGATACATTGCTTTTACTATGTATTTAGACAGTGTATATCTAAGTGCATATCAAAAGTGTGTGTCTAGAAAAGCCAAAACGTCTTATGATTTGGGATAGAGGTAGTAGTAGTAGTAGTTATTTTCTGCTTGCTTTCTTGCTTGTACAACTTTAAAATTGCTAACACTGACAAACTTGACAGAGGGCCTATTGAAGCATCTCACGAACTGTGTTCACTCAAACTTGTCTTTCAGCCGATTCCTACAATTTCGGGATCCACGTGCCCAAAGGCGACATCCCCTTGTTGATCCCATGGTTGTTTCAGAGATTCGGCGATGCCTCAATGAGGGGATTGAATTCCAAGGCGAGCTGCTGAATTTCCGGAAGGATGGTGCTCCACTTTACAACAGATTAAGGCTCATTCCTATGCATGGGGATGATGGCTATGTGACACATGTTATTGGAATCCAGCTATTCTCTGAGGCAAACATCGATCTCAGCAGCGTATCATATCCAGTGTATAAGCAACAGTCCAACAACAGGCTCAGCATTCAAGATCTGAACTCAGCTTCCCATGAGCATGCTCCAAAAATCCAGAGTTCAGACCACTGTGGTATATTTCAATTGTCAGACGAAGTTCTTGCACACAACATTCTATCTCGCCTGTCACCAAGAGATGTTGCATCCATTGGATCAGTCTGTACCAGAATGCATGAACTAACCAAGAATGATCACCTGAGGAAGATGGTCTGCCAGAACGCATGGGGAAGGGATGTCACTGTCAGGCTTGAGATGAGCACCAAGATGGTAGGATGGGGTCGTCTTGCAAGAGAGTTAACAACTCTTGAGGCAGCCTCATGGAGGAAGTTCACAGTTGGAGGGCGCGTTGAGCCTTCCCGATGCAACTTCAGTGCCTGCGCTGTTGGTAACCGTCTTGTCCTTTTCGGAGGGAGGGTGTCAACATGCAGCCTATGGATGATACATTTGTGCTTAACTTGGAGGCTGCAAGGCCAGAATGGCGCCGCGTCAAGGTTTCTGCCTCTCCACCTGGCCGGTGGGGGCACACTCTATCATGGCTGAATGGGTCATGGCTGGTAGTATTTGGAGGCTGCGGACAGCAAGGTTTGCTCAACGATGTCTTTGTCCTTGACCTTGATGCTCAGCAGCCAACATGGAGGGAGGTTGCAAGCGAGGGTCCTCCACTGCCACGGTCTTGGCACAGCTCATGCACCCTGGATGGTTCGAAGCTCGTCGTATCAGGTGGCTGCACCGAGTCTGGTGTTCTTCTCAGCGACACCTTCCTCCTTGACCTCACAAAGGAGAAACCTGCATGGAGGGAGATTCCTACATCCTGGTCACCTCCATCCCGCCTCGGCCACACCATGTCCGTCTATGGTACAACTAAACTGTTCATGTTTGGTGGACTGGCAAAGAGCGGCTCGCTCCGACTGCGCTCCAGCGACGCCTACTCAATGGATGTTAGCGAAGATAGTCCGCAGTGGAGACAGTTGGCGACGACTGGATTCCCAAATGCCGGCCCGCCACCAAGGCTCGATCACGTCGCAGTGAGCCTGCCCTGTGGACGGATCATCATATTTGGGGGCTCGATTGCGGGACTCCACTCCCCAGCGCAGCTGTTCCTGATCGATCCCGCAGAGGAGAAGCCGACATGGAGGATCCTGAACGTACCCGGCCAGCCACCCAAGTTCGCCTGGGGGCACAGCACCTGCGTGGTTGGCGGCACCAGGGTCCTGGTTCTCGGAGGCCACACAGGGGAGGAATGGATACTGAACGAGCTACATGAGCTCTGCCTAGCAAGCAGGCCCGACGAGGACGACTGACTAGCTTCGTCCTTGCACATGGTTCATCTGTTTTACACCTTAATGCTATTCGTATCTACTTCCAGTCTGTTGATGTGTTGTGTATCGGTATAAGAAAAATTAGCAGAAATTGGTTAAAAAAAGTTAGTCTAGAAGAGTTTAGTCTATTTTGTTGTCATCGGAGAAGTTTTCTTTCATCGGTCTAGATAGATTCTATGGTCTCTCTCTCTCTCTCTCTCTCTCTCTCTCTCTCTCTCTCTCTCTCTCTATATATATATATATATATATATATATGTTTATTTTCATGTCTCAAAAAACCCCAAAAAATTGAAACACTGCATTGTAAATTTACATGCCAATGTCGTCAGTTCCAATGTCTTGTACTCTTATTTTTGTCTTCACGTCTCTGTCAAATTTGAGTATCGATGCACTGCTTTGTACTGTAGGTATGAAAATCATATTTAAAATATAGCGTTGCTTCAGTTTGTAGGTATGAAATTGGCCGCTGATTCAGTTTATGGTATTGATGTCTTGTCGAAATCGCGGTGTTTGGATGTTTTTTTTATGTGATGTTTGATTGAAAAGCCAAGTGCTGACAAGATTTTGAAGGCAACTCCAAAGGCCCATGGTCAATGCGTTTGTTGTTTTAATTTGTTGCAAGTCATATTTTTCTATTTTAAAATTAACTAAGTTTATGAAATATCTCATTAACATCTATAATACTGAATAAGTGCACCATCAACTGCAATACTAGATAAGTGCACCGTCCGCTACAATTTTAAACTAGTGTACTGTCAATAATTTTTTGGTACAGATTTTAAGATATATTTTTAAACTTATTCAAAATTAAGAGACTTTCACAAAACTAAAACAACCTATTATGTTACATAATATAGATGGTCCCATCGCTTTGAATGGGCATTGTTGAAAGATGGTCTCATCACTTTGAATTAGTAGTCTTGAAAAAAATTATGTCTACGTCGTTGCGTCAGACTTAAAATACGAGGAAATGAAGACCGGAGCCTGTTCGCTGGTTGGTTTCTGGGCTGATAAGTCCGGCTAGTGCTGGTTTGTTGTGAGAGAAAAACATTGTTGACTGATAAGCTCTGGTTAAAACCAACAAACGAACAGGCTAATCGGAATCTAAGGGCTTTGATGTTTCATAAAAAAAAGTTGGGAGAAAAGGAAAACGAGTTAAGAACGCGCACTCAACACGCTAGAAATTACTAATCGGAATCTAAGGGCTTTGACGTTTCATAAAAAAAAAGTTGGGAGAAAAGGAAAACGAGTTAAGAACGCACTCAACACGCTAGAAATGACGAGGGCAGTAATCTCAGCCCTCTTCGTTTGTCTTATAATCCATATTTTTCAGCTTGTTTTTTTTTAGCTAGAACAGTATTTTCACTCACAACAAATCAGCCGAAACAGTATTTTAACTTATTTTTTCAGCGAAACGAACGAGCCCTCGACTGGATGACTCCTGGCATCTACATCATCTTTCGTGTCAATAGCGGAGTGCAGAACGGCAGAATTATTGCCTTGCATATTGCACTAGTGGAACTGTTGAGTATTCCCACTATGCATCGAGCCTTCATGATTCTTGGTCCATACCCCCAAAAAATGCGCATCAGATGCCACAACAGGCACGGCCTAAAGGCCGATGTGCGTGCATGCGGCCATAGGACACGCTAGGAAGAAATGACGACAACTATGTTCTGTCCAGTTCCAGTAGCGACCACACACAAAATTCCAATGCAGCCAATTCAGATTATTCTGGGACATTAAGCCAAATAGCTTTGCAAAAGCCATCATAACAGAATACCACTCAGCAGCAGGCCTGTCAAGTCAAATACTCCGTAGGTCATTCTAACACAACGCTGCAACACAAGAGAAGCAGGTCTTTTTCCTGGTGGGCTTGGAGCACGAAAACCAGCATCCAGCCATCATTTATCGACTTGAAAGCGAAACAAAGCGTGCGGCATGACATCTAGAGTGCTTAATTAAAACAGCAGCAATAGCAGCAGCTCCATCGCATACACTGGTGCGTGCGATGATGGAAGACAACAACACAAGGTATACTAGAAGATAAGCTATCAGAATTCAAGAACAGCAGCGGTCCTGGTCACTCCCCAACATCAGCAGACACATCAGGTCGGGAGATCCAGTACATCTTACTGACCCTCTGCGGATTCTTTCGGGGCAGCAGCTTCCTTGATCTCGTCACCGCCATCCTCCTGATGAGGAAAGAAAGAGCCAAGGTCACATGAGAACCATGACTAGTGATGATGGGCAAAGAGAGCCAAAGGTCACAATGCTTAACAATTCTGTGGGAAAGAAGAAACTCACGTTGGTGTCGGAAGTCCATAGGGTCAAGTTGTCACGCAGGAGCTGCATGATCAGAGTGCTGTCCTTGTAGGACTCCTCTCCCAGGCTGTCCAGCTCAGAGATTGCCTCATCAAAAGCCTACAACATTGAATTTAATTCAAGTCAACTCCAGCAAATATTAAGTGAAGGATGCTTAGATTGATGACAGCATCAAGTGTACTACTTCGTTGCCTAGGAATGCATCTGTCATCTGAAGTAATATATGAAGACTGTCCTCTGTCCAACTTTATGTATCCTAGACCAGTTAATCAGTCTAGCCATCATAGAAGGGAAATTGAGAATTCTCTAGGTGACTTATAATCATTAGGTTGTAGCTTGTCAATGTTCAACATGAAATAGAAAATGTATGCAACAAAACATGACAAATTGAGTGAAGAAACAACAGCTAGCATTTGTTAGCATCCCAGAGTAATTAGATCCATTACTTCAATATGACACACCTAATAGTAAGAGATAATGTTTCAGTAAATACGCATGCAGAACACAAACCTGTGTTACATGCACACAAACAGTAATCCCCTAATAGAGTGCTAGAAAATTTGTTCGGGGATGCAAAGTAGTTCAAGTCTAGGGATCTACAGTTCACCACAAACCACTAATTCCGTATAGAGGGCCAACAACATGTAAGTAGCAGACTAGCGGTGATGGCCATCAATCAAGTTTTGCTTGCAATACCAATTTAAAACAAGTTATTATAATCTACGAATCCCTAGCATCATATATCATCAGCTACAAGTAAACTATTTCCTTTGCACCATCTTTTATTGAACAAACCAAACCCTACATAAGCAGAGACAGAGGCTGTCTATGCACTCCACCGGTTGTCCAGCTATACAATCTAGGAGACATCATGTCTCAAAATGAAAATAAATCACTAAGGGAGATGGAAGGACAAGAAGCAAACCTGTTTTGCAAGGTTGCAAGCACGATCAGGGGAGTTCAGGATCTCATAGTAGAACACTGAGAAGTTGAGTGCCAGCCCAAGCCTGATGGGGTGGGTTGGGGCCAGATCAGCAAGAGCAATATCCTACAAACCAAAAACCAACAACAATGAATCTCAATTAACAAGATATGCAGTCAACCTATCAACATATGCACAAAGATCAAACCTGAGCAGCTTTGTAAGCATTCATGGTACTCTCCGCAGCATCCTTCCTCTCCGCACCTGACTTGAACTCAGCAAGGTACCTACAAAATCATCATGAGAAATCAGATACCAAGATATCCGTACAGTAGGGGGGGGGGGGATCAATAGATCACGAATTCGTATCCTTGAATCTTCTACTATAAGAGACAGCACATTATATAGACAAATAGGAACCTCAGCATGCACCATAAATGAAAGGAGAACAACCTCACTCAATAACGTCACAGGCACCACAATCGCTTTCCCTTTCTTTCTTTTGACTAGAAACCACAAATTACAAGAGCGTAACACACAAAAAGATATCAAAAAAAAGAGGTCACGCATTAGATTTAGACCTAATCATCACTCAGACCCGCGTCATCCCCACTCGAAACATCTGCATACAGGTCTTAAGTTTTGACTTCTCCAAACCACAACTACCATGGTTCATATATATACTAAGGCCCCAAATCAGATAGTGATGCCCCCCACAGATAATAATAACCAAGCAATAAATAAGGATTCAAAACCCCCGCTAATCTAAATCCCAAACACAAAGATCCCTCATCATATACTAAGGGAAATTCCATCAGCTCCGCCACACATCGCATATAAGATCGCGCGTACATCCACCAAAAACCTCCCTCCTCGGCCACTCCATAAATAGATCGCATCGTCTACAGGCGGATACGCAGAACAAAAAGCGAGATCCGCTGGCGGTAATGGTTATACCTGTGGTAGTCGCCCTTCATCTTGAGGTAGAAGACCTTGGACTCGGCGGCGCCGGCGGACGGGACGAGGTGGGAGTCGAGCAGCGCGAGGATGCCGTCGCAGATGCGGGCGAGCTCGGCCTCGATCTTGGAGCGGTAGGCGCGGATGGAGGCCGCGTGCGCCTCGTTCCCGCGGCCCTCCTCCTTCTGCTCGATGGAGGAGATGATCCGCCACGACGCCCTGCGGGCGCCGATGACGTTCTTGTAGGCGACGGACAGCAGGTTGCGCTCCTCCACGGAGAGCTCCTCCCCGCCGCCGGCGCCGCCCGCGGAGCGCGCCACGCGCTCCATGAACTCGACCATCTCCTCGTACCGCTCCGCCTGCTCCGCCAGCTTGGCCATGTACACGCTCTCCTCCCGCGTCGGCTCCGACGGCGACATGGCTGCGAGCGGGGGTGGGGTGGGGTGGGACGGGTCGGCGGATCGGGATCGCCGGCGGCGGCGGCGGCGGCGGCACGGGCGGGGTCACACGGTTGCGGTGGCGCAGAGGATCCTGTGGAGCGGGCGGAAACGACGCGTTTGTGCGGAGGTGGGGAGGCGAGGGGTGGGGGCATTTGAGGAGGGCCGCGCGCGGGATGCGGGACCCGCATGGCAGTGGGAAGACGTGGCTGTCAAAGGAGCGTCGCGCGCGCCGCGGGGATCGGTGCGGGGGCAGGGTGTGTGGTCGGCAGTGTGGCGGGGAGGTGGGTGGACGGGGCGTGGTCGGTGGAACACGTGAGGATTTCTGGTTGGGTGGCGATGGTGTTTGCTGTGCGAACGAGGAGTGGGCGAGGAACGTGAGGTGCAGAGGCTTGGGCGGCCAATCTGGGGGATGGGATGGGCGGTGAAGCTTCGCCATGCTTCTGCCATTCAAATTAGTACAGTGGTTTGGTTTTTTTTTTTCTGGTTTGAGCTGGCTGGTGCTGGTTTATTGTGAGAGAAAAACACTGTTGACTGGTTGGTTTAGGCTGGCTAAAACCAACAAGCGAACAGGCCGAATATAGCTAGTATAGTGTGCGTGTCCATGTTAACGCTATGGACCATATTAAGTCAAAAGTTAAATTTAGAACAATATTGGTCTCGCGCCGTGCTAACGCTAGTAGTGTGCCATGTTAATGTTGAAACAACCTTGTTTTGGCCTAATTATAGCATCTCTAGTCAATGCCATGGTTAACAGAAAGCATAACATTAGGGCCAAAATTTCATTTCATTGTAGTTTTTTTGTCCGTAGCATATCATTACAGTTCATAAACTAAAAGACGTTGAATAAGTTAACGAGCAGTTATTATAATCCCTCAAGAACCCGATTTAAATCACACCATAGCTAAATTAAACAACTACAGATGGGGCTCCATCCCAGACCAGACCAGAGGTTATGGTTGAAGGATAGACACTTGCAGCAGAAAGAAGCAGCTGTTGTTTACATTGTCAAACAACACTTCCTATCGGTAGGTCTTGAGATCCTCATTGGGACTACAACTACGTCTATATAATCATATTAAACTAACGTAGTATAGTACCCGTACTAACACCACGGCGGTATTTCAGAGATACACATGAAAATAACTAGAGGACTATTTTTTTCCCTTAAAACAATCAAAGTGGTAGGAAGCTAAGTGCAGCACCAAATTTTCTCGTGTAAAAGAACACAATTGCGAGGTTGCAATTGAACAATTAGGACAGCTTTCCTAACATCACGAACCATTAGTTCTTGTGGCATGATGGATGATTTTAGAGTAGAATAACAGAGAATCACGTCACAGACATACAAATGCATATGTCCCAAGAACACGTCAAAACTATACTAAACATTTGATGACTTATGATAATTCCCAGCAACTATTTCAGCCTTAAACATAGTCTCCCAGCTAGCTCAGATATCTTCTGTTGATTCCGTCGCTGGAGACAAAGACCAAGCTTATTTGTTGTGACCTGTCTTTTGTATGGTTCTTGCAGCTACAAGCAAATGGACATAGTTCAGAACCATACAAGAAGTATTATAGCTAAATAGAACAATTCACCAAATTACATATTCCAAACTGAAGTTTAAGATTCAGGCACGAAAACAGGAACTGTTAGCTGCAATTAATATAATCATCTTATTATTCTGTTATTTTGTGCTCTGTTATCAGCCAAGAGAAATGATCTATGCATCTAAGCTACAATCCATTTGCGGCAAGGATACAGTTGCAGCTAGCTAATACTGAATACTTTGCCTAACTTATTTGCAATGCTAGTATATGAAAAAAAATGAGAAATATAGCCACCACATATAGTATATAAGTTAACTGCATACATCAGTACTTGGGAATTAATAAATTCATCCTGAAAGGCTGTAACATATGCACATCAAACATGCAGAATTTCTATATCTATTGTTACACATTATACATACCTATTCGAACAGCATCAGAGCCTCTCATGATTTTTATCTTCTGATAGATAGAGGTAAAATAACTGCAAAGGAACAAATAAGGTTAGCATTTGCATCTTGATTTTGAGCAAAAATGTTGACATCAATTCCATCACAGTTGAGGAAGCGCTCATACCTGTGTTGTTTTTTTTTATTTCGCCTAAAGCAGTGCGCTCTGCTTTCTGATTTGCCACATCTTTTTTTTTAATTATTTTGGTAGCCAGCAACCTGCAAATGCAATGATTAACATAACCACATTACAGATTACCATGATTTCTCATGACTTTTTTTTTTATGTAAAACCAGTGATATTAACACTCTTGCATACTGAAAGGAAAATCTCAGATGAAAAAATGCCACTTACTATCAGTCCATTAGCATTCAGAGCTGGGCATTGCCACTTGCTATAAAATCGAAGTTAAAGGGAGGCATAGACACTTGCCATCAGTCCATTAGCATTCAAAGCTTGGCATTGTCCACAAGGCTTCACAGCTTTGCATAGATGGACTTAAATATCAACAGCATAGGATTTGGCCTGACGAGACAGCAATCATGTCTCAAACCAATTCAACAATGAACCCAATTTTCTGTCTAATTCGGGTAAGGCTATAAATGAATGTCTAGATATCAATCCATAGCCATTGAAAGAACGAAATTAATGTGCAGGCTTCATGATTCTTCCATGGTGAGATATGCTTACAAATCTTGATGGACTCGGACACTCCCGCGTGGTCGAGGCCCCCCCCGCAGCGTGCTGCGCATGGCGTCAACCCTCATTGTGAGGCATCCGCCCCAAAGCACCGCGACGGGCGTTCGCCACGTGCGCACCCCGCACCGCTTCCGCACGATGCCAACGCGGTCCTCCGACATCAGCCAATCAGGACCGGGTTGCCAAGTCGCCTAACAACATTTCTGACAGCAGGCTCCCAACACCAAAGGCAAAGGCTACTAAGTTCGGCAACAAATGTATTCATTCATTTTATTAATCATAATGCACGAGCACAAGATGCCGAAAGCGAGTTGGATCATAATTTGAAACACCGGAAGCACGAGAACAAAGCTTTATTATTAAACAATCATATTCACATGATGCAATAAGAAATTAGACCCGAGATAAGGTAATCAAGTTGTAAATACATGTAGGCAATGCGATCAAACTTGGTGGAGCATATCGACTTTCGGTCATCATCCCGCTTTGCCACACTCCACTTAATTGAGAACAAATGAGTGCGACAGAGGGCTTTGGGGCGCCGCCAGACGAATCGAACCAATCACGTGGAACAACAAGCTAAGAAATCCACGCCTAGAAACCTCCCAATTGGTGCTCTCGGCAAATCACCGCCACCAAGTGTGCGGATCGGCCAAGAAATTTTACGTGTGAACCTGCCACACAACCCGAACCGAATGGCACACCCCGCCCATGCCTTCACGACTGAATCAGGATCTAGGTTATGGAATTTTACACACGAACAGATGTCGTGCAACCCTACCGCACCCGCATCAGTCGCTAGTGAGAGTGAATCCTGCAGACCAGAGAGAAATCACCGGGGATTCAGATCAATACCTCGTGAATCGCGATGCCAAATGCCTGAATCACTGCTCCAACCGCTGTCGTCAACCCACAAACCCCGACACTTGCGGATCATTGCGAACCCGAGCTGAGGTCCTCACCCCCGACCTCGCAAGCCCCTCATCTGTCCTCTCCTACTCCTCGGCGACGACGGTGCTATCGTCTGCCGCAGCAAGCCAGCGGCGGGGGCGCGGGACGGCGCCTTGACGCGCTTTGCCCTCCTCCGAGTTGCAAGCTTCGTCGTCGCCGCCTTCGGCTTGGTCGAAGCACCGGCGGCGGCCTCCGGCGGGTGCCTGCTCGTGAGTGCCTGCCGCTGGTTGCTGCGTTGTGCCGTGTCCGTCGTCGAAGTAGGCTGAGACGGCGACGCGGTGCTTGCCATGGGGGAGCGGGTTCCGGTCGTGGTCGATGTGGTGGTAGGAGAGTTCGATGGCGGAACTGGGGGCACCCTCCCCGGCGACGATGGGTGCGAGTTGCCTGGTGAAGCAGAGGGCGAGCTCGAGGGCCTGGGTTGGGGTGGCGGCGTGGATCAGGACGGGAGGGTTGAAGGGGGGAACGAAAAAGCAAGAGAAGGCACCGGCGTCTGCACACGTGGGTGGGGTGGAGCGGTGAAGTGGGGTGATCGGGGGTGGGAGATCCAAAGAATATCAGCTGTCAGATGTGGTTGAGCAAGGAGAGAAAATGAGTGAGAGTTAATTTGGTGCGTACATTTTTAATGTTATCTTTTTCTGTGTGCGTTTTGTGGGGTGGATGTAGTTTAGGCCGTGACTGTAGAGGTGTGATTTGTTTGGTGGTTGTAGGATAATTTGAAGTGGTGTATTATAGGGGGTAGAGATAGAGATAAAATTTTGTTTATGCGTCCGTAGTTTACAAAGGCCCTATTCGCTTGTCTTATAATCCGTACTTTTCAGCTTGTTTTTTCAGTCGGAACAGTGTTTTTCTCTCACAACAAATCAGTCGGAACAGTGTTCTAGCTTATTTTTTAGCGAAGCGAACCGGGCCTGATGCACCCGGTGTTTGTATTTTCCATTGAGATGGTAGATGTATTGCAAAATCTAAAAATCTACGGTAATGCTACTTATAGATCATCATTAAGTCGCCCGTTCGCTTTGTGTCTCGCCCGCGTCGCTTGCTCACTCAGCACGCTGCGCGCCTCTGCTTTGGGATGGAACCCCCCTCAGCCGCGTGGTCCCGCCCGGGCCGCCGCCTTCGTGCCCCCACCCAGACTCGTGTCTCCCATTGCGTTCGCGCTTCATCCGCCTGCCCTTGCCCCTGTCGAGGTCCGTGCCACCGACGAGCTCCACATCGGTGAGCTCCGCGCCACTCCACGGCATCGAGCTCTGCACTGGCGTCGAGCTCCGCGTCGACGAGCCTCCATTGTTCAAGCAGTAAGCAGATGCTACAATAAAAACGTATGTTGCA